GAAATTTGAATTGATTATTCTATTGTTAGACTTCTAATCTTCATTTTGATTATTTCAAACATCATTTGGTCATTTACCCTTAAATTTATGTTCTCTAATGCATCTAAATCCCCCTCTATCAGGTACTCTTCTATTGTGTCCCTAATGCATTGGTTTGCTAAATCTACCCAATTCTGATCATTTAATAATTTTGAGTTAAATTTCCAATACCCCTTTCCTCTCATATTTTCTTTATTAATGCAAGCTAGTGATATACAGGAATGGTCAGTCTTATAACCGGGTGTGATACTAGAGTTTGTAACAATGTTAAGTAAATCTTGTGAAACTAAGAAGTAATCTAACCGACTTTGTTTAATTGGGTTTTTCCTTCGCCATGTGTACATTTTTTTTTCAGGATTTTGGATTCTCCAAACATCAAATAATTCAAATTCTTCCATACTCTTATCAATAAGTTCTCTGGCTAGTCTATGACTCTCATGCATAATATTATGTGTATCTTTTCCCATATCCTGTACCAAATTCCAGTCACCTCCCATTATTATTTTAGTATTTGAAATCAATCTGATTCTTCTATATATAATTTCAAAGAAATTTGGCTTATCATCATTCGGCCCATATACATTTATTAATGTTACCCTGGTTCCATTAAGTGAAACATCTAATATAATGTATCTTCCCTCTGAGTCTATAATTTTACTATGTATCTCAATATCTGCTTCATATCCAAAAAAAATTGCTACTCCTGCACTTGATGTACTTCCATGACTAAAAATACCTGTACCATCCCATTCATCTTCCCACTGGGTTTCAATTTCTTCACAACTATGCGTTTCCTGCAAAAACACAACTGATTTTTTCTTCGCTTTTATCCAATTAAACAGATCAACTCTTTTTCTTTTACATGAATACAACCCCCTGACATTCAAAGACAATATCTCAAAATTAGCCATGATCACTTATCCAGAAATTACCAAAGCACACCCTTAGGTGATCCTGTACTTGATCCCATTTCTTATCAGTTATGGTATTTAAGTAAATAACCTCCCACACAGACAAATGACACAAAAAATATAGAAGCATAATGCCCTTGCATTTTGGATTACTGAATAAAAAACTAGAGACACTGTCACAATAATGTGTATCGCTGTAAAGTCAGAATTGATCTAGGATAGAAAAGAAAAAAACATCCGTAAATTTTGCTTAAACGTTTAAAAAAAATGAAAATATTACCCAAAATGTAGTGCAAGTCACGAAAATCAGCCTTCAATATGTATATCATCACCTTATTCCACCAACAACATAAACCTTGGGATGCGAGAAAAATAGCTAAACATTAGTTAACTGCAGCTGGATCACCGGTGTCATGCATAAAAAGTACCCCTCTACCAAAAGGTATCCGGATACTTTTTATACCTGCATAAAATGTATCTCCCCCCTGCATAAAAAGTACCCCCCTTGTGAAAAAAAAAATATTTATTTATTTTCAAACCAATTAAGTTCAGGACTTCAACAGGACATTACAGGGGAATATTTATCCACCCCTACCCCACCAATCCCCACCCCCCGGGGCCAGGAAATTATGCCAAAATTATTTTTAATCACTGGACACAATAAGGTTTGGGGAGTCATGTAAAAACATTTACAGTTATGTTATAGTCATTACCCAACCTATATTCAACTCCCCACCCCCCGGATACTTTTTATACACCCGACCAAAATGTACCCCCGGATACTTTTTATACCCTGACCAAAAAGTACCCCCCTATGAAAAATCTCATATTTCTGTTTTTTTTTTATACAATTGAGTTCAGAACTTGAACAGGACATCACAGGGGAATATTTATCCACCCCTACCCCACCAATCCCCACCCCCGGGGCCAGGAAAATATGCCAAAATTGGTTGGGTAATGACTATAACAAAACTGTAAATGTTTCTACTTGAGTCCCCAAACCTTATTGTGTCCAGTGTTTAAAAAAAAAATTGGCATAATTTCCTGACCCCGGGGTGGGGATTGGTGGGGTAGGGGTGAATAAACATGCAACTGTAACCTTCTGATCAACTTCTGAACTGTTATTGATTAAACATTTTGAAACATTTGTTTTTAGCTCACCTGGCACGAAGCTTATGCCGTGGCGCGGCGTCCGTCGTCCGTCAGTCCGTCCGTCCGTCCGTCTGTCGTCCGGTGTCAATATTTTACTTTAAACGACTTCTTCTTAATAACTGAAAGGCCTAGGGTGTCGATATTTGGCCAGAAGCAAACTGAGATGAAGGGCTACAAAGTTTGTCAAAATTAATGACCTTCACCCATTTTCCATGTCACAGGGGTCAAATATGTTAAAAACTTTAAACATCTTCTTGATAACCAAACTGCCCAAGGAGATGATATTTGGCCAGAAGCATGCTTGGGTGAAGGGCTACCAAGTTTGTTCAAATGAATGACCTTCAATTATATTCAAGGTCACAGGGGTCAATTGTCTTAAAAAACCTTTAAACAACTTCTTCTGAATAACCAAAATGCCCAGGGTGATGATATTTGGCCAGTAGCATGCTGAGATGAAGGGCTACAAAGTTTGTTCAAATGAATGACCTTCACCCATATTCAAGGTCACAGGGGTCAAATATGTTAAAAACTTTAAACAACTTCTTCTGAATAACCAAAATGCCCAGGGTGATGATATTTAGTCAGTAGCATACTAGGATCAAGGGCTACCAAGTTTGTTTAAATGTATGACCTTGAATCATATTCAAGGTCACAAGGAGCAAATATGTTCAAAATATTTAAACAACTTGTTCTGAATAATCAAAAGGCTCAGGATGTTGATATTTAGTCAGTAGCATGCTGGGATCAAGGACTACTATGTTTGTTAAAGTGAATGACTTTGACTTATATTCAAGGTCACAGGGGTCAAATTTGTTTAAAATCTTTAAACGACCTCTTCTGAATAACCATGGGTCCCAGGATGTTGATACTTTGCAAATTGCATCCTGAGATGAAAGGCTATAAAATTTGTTCGACTTTCAATTACAGGGGTGAAATGTTTTATAAAAAAATAACAGGGTCTTTTGAATGAATTTTAATCATAAATACTGATATTTTGCCTGTAGCTTTATTTTAGATCACTTTTAAGGTTACAAGTGTGAGATTTATACCAGGTGAGCGATGCAGGCCCATTGGGCCTCTTGTTTTCATTGCATTTTTTAAAGCAAGTGTTAGGGGTGAAGCGAAGTACAACTAATAACATGATCTATAAGGAATTAGGAGTATATCCTCTGATTACAATAAGAAAGCTGAGAGTGTTCAAATTTTGGTTGAAATTAGTACATAGTCAGAATTGTATTATGACTGTAAAATATAATGATCTTATGGAAAGGTTAAATGTTAGTGATAAATATAACTGGTTGAGCTATATTAAAAATGAACTGTATACTATGGGACTGGGTTATATCTGGGACACCCAGATGACAATAAATGTAAAAAATGCTTTGGATATTATTAAACAAAGACTTTTTGATTGTTGTGTAAAAGAAATAAGGAGTCAGATAGCTGAATCGACCAAATGTAGTATGTATAGACACCTAATATGTGCACAAAGTTTTGATATGAAAATTTATCTCAGGAAACCTATCCAATGCAAGTACAGAAAAGTCATTACGAAACTCAGAATGTCCAGTCACCAGTTAGAAATTGAGCAAGGTATATATATATTAATCTACCGAGGAATTTAAGAATCTGTAAATTATGCAATTTAGATATTGAGGATGAATACCACTTTGTGCTTAAATGTCCATCTTTTCAGATACTTAGACATATGCACATGAAAAAATATTATTGGTCAAAACCCAGCATGTTTAGATTCATCAGTCTTATGAACTCTAGCAATACATCTGAATTATGCAAATTTGGAAAGTTTCTGCATAAATCATTTATGTTGAGAGATAATCTGAAAACAAATTTAAATGTATGAACCAACAAGAATGCATTCTCCTTCAATACATTATTCTTATTAATTTTTCTTTAACTAGTATATCACTGATGATGTACATTCATTCACATTCAAAATACATGCCACTTATTTGTTTACACATACAAACTGCCGCCCTGGTAAGCATGTATTGAATATGTATGGATTGTAGTAATATCCTGTACCTATAAGTTGTGAACTTTTGGAAAATAAAATGAACATAGAACATTTGGTTGCGTGCTCGAGACCTATGTGGGGCAGTTGCCGTTACCTCAAAGGGAGCGGCAGTCCCGTGTTACCTGCCACGTGGGTTTTACTTATGAATGAATAATCTAACGATGAGTTAGGAATGAGATATTTTGTTTATAAAAACAGTTTTCAGAATGACCTGTTTGTGTTGTTTTTGTACTCGACAGTCAAGACTGACAAAGAGATCCTAAAAACATCATAAAAACCAAAACAGATTTCAAAAGGGAATCAGAATACAAAACTGGGAATTGACAACTTTCCGACGTAGAATTTGCTTTCAGGGGTGTGGGACGTAAAAAAATATCAAGAGAGCCCAATATATATTTGTGATACATTAAAAGAGATGCAACCATCTTTGAATTAGGTTGTTAATCAAATTTTGTTTCTCAAGAACAATTAATATTCATTTATTATATTGCTGCATATGATTTATAGTAGAAACTAGAAAATGTCTGTAAGACATGAATCCCCCGTCACCATGTGAAATTAGTTTCAGTGTTTGATGTTAGACGGGATGGGACGCGACGCGACGGACATGGGCAACATTATATGCCCCCCCACTCCCATTTTATAGCGGGGCATAAGAAAAATTGTGTTAATTACCGGTATAATGCAAATTGATCATTTATGTATTAACTTAAACATAAATGTAAATTTACAATGTATTACCATAGACTTATCTTATTCTAATCTTAAGCCGTGATATTACTGAGTTTTCATGCTGTAGAAACCCAAGAACATTGGCAACATCAATTTCAAGCTAAAGGTTGGTTTGTTCTGTTGTGTAGATGGAGAAAAGAGTAGTTACAAGGAAGGTAGAGATGTTACTGACAGTGTTCCCAGAGACAGTGGGACAAAGGACATAGGAAAAAGACACCCAGACACACCCCAGACAGATAGGGGCACAGAAAACACAGATCAGGAACCACGAGGCACAGCTGAGACAGATAGGGACACAGAAATCACAGATCAGGAACCACGAGGCACAGCTGAGTGAGACTTTAATAAGAATTTAATATCAGAAATGATTCATTTAAAATTTCTGCAACCTTTTAAATTATGCAAAGAATTAAACAAAAAATTGATGCATCATATAGTTCCTTAGACTCCAAGGCCACACACAGTTAAGTACAAATTTAGAGGTATTAGCCAGAGGGCATAGGACCTGTATACGCAGTTAACACCTGATAAAGAATTCTAAGATTATGTTGATTATGTTAATTTATTGTAACATGTATTCATATATTATTAAGCAAAATATTATTTTTTATTTAAGCTGTATACAAAGTTTAATGTGATAAAGAGTGATTTTACTGTGCTATGATTTTAATTAAAATTCCTGTTTTGACTTTTTTTTGTGTTTTTTTTCAGAGATGATTTTCGATATACAATAGGAAAGCAACGACGTCTTGCTGTTTATATTGGTGTTAGACAATTTGAAAAAAGAGGTAGTGATGGGGAAAGTGATGGGACAGGTGTATATGATGATACAATGAATAGGGAACGTGAAGAAAAGAGGGATAGAAGTGAGGCACGACTAGCTTTGAAATCCCTAGGCTTTACCTTTAAACGCAATCCTACAAAGGAAACTACAAAAGAGAAAGTTGATAAATTTATTGAAACAGGTAAATTAAATTTTGTGTGTGTTAGTGAAACAAGTATTCCTTGCCGTGCTGTTTATTTCCATCAATTTTACATGTTGTTTATGTGATATGTAACGCTCACGATACCATTGTAAACCAGCTCTGGTTCTCCCTCCAGTGAACTTGGTCAGCTCTAACATTCTTCACTCACTTCCTTTCTGTTTAGACTTTCACTCCTACTTCTTTCACCTTGTCATCTTGTGGTCCTCACTCAATTTGATGAACTGCCTGACCTTTGCTATCATTATGTCTTTAATTTTGTAATGGATTTTCAGTGGAAGTTGCTTTTTTGTGCCTGAGCTGTATATTCCTCTTCTTCCAATAATCTGGTCAAAGCATTTTCTGGTGCCAATAGAACATAATAATGTGTTTATTTATATAGGGTAATGTATTAAGACATAAATCAAATTTTCATATTTCATATGCATACAATGTTACACTCCAAGCTGCATGGTTACACCGAGCTTTAAGTTTCCTTGGTAATTGACTAATCCCATCACTTTCCACTGCCTGTTATGTTCCGCTGCCTGTTACGTTCCACTGCCTGTTACGTTCCACTGCCTGTTACGTTCCACTGCCTGTCACTGCCTGTTACTTTCCACTGCCCTGCCTGTTACGTTCCACTGCCTGTTACGTTCCACTGCCTGTTACGTTCCACTGCCTGTTGCTTTCTCTGTGTGTTGCTGTTCCTGTCTTTCTGAGAACCACTTAACCACTTGGTTAATATTATGAGCGGATAACAGAAATTGTGCATCTTATCACTGTTCCTATCCCAAGAATTACAATTAGGGTGGTTGGGTGGTGCAGTGGATAGCACACTTGCCTTTCACCAAGGCAGCCGGGGTTCGATTCCCTGATCTGAGGTGAAAAGGTTGGGGTCACCTCCCTGACCATGTGGGTTTTCTCCGGGTACTCCGGTTTCCTCCCACACTAAGCGCCCCCCCCCCCCTCCCCCACCACATGCTAACATCCGGGCCAACAAGAGTGATTAATATAAGTTTACAATAACAAGTAAACTTGTCCACTTTCACAGTACCTATGTTGAGATTTGTATTCGTGTATGGGGGCATGTGTGTCAATTTTTTTAAATTATCCATAAATATAATTCCAGTTTTGACAGATGATGAAAACAAGAAAGTGGATATCATTGTTGTACTGATCAGCTCACACGGAGAGGAAGTCAAAGAGCAAGATGAACACAGCAAGGACAAAAATGTTCTTCGTCATCGTATTTTGTTGGAAGACAAGTATTTGTACACGGACGAACTTTTGAAACGATTCAATACAAGTGCATTAAAAGGCATACCCAAGCTATTCTTCATCCAGGTAAGTTCAGGTTTGTAAAAGGCATACCCAAGCTATTCTTCATCCAGGTAAGTTCAGGTTTGTAAAAGGCATACCCAAGCTATTCTTCATCCAGGTAAGTTCAGGTTTGTAAAAGGCATACCCAAGCTATTCTTCATCCAGGTAAGTTCAGGTTTGTAAAAGGCATACCCAAGCTATTCTTCATCCAGGTAAGTTCAGGTTTGTAAAAGGCATACCCAAGCTATTCTTCATCCAGGTAAGTTCAGGTTTGTAAAAGGCATACCCAAGCTTTTCTTCATCCAGGTAAGTTCAGGTTTGTAAAAGGCATACCCAAGCTATTCTTCATCCAGGTAAGATTAGGTTGTAAAAGGCATACCCAAGCTTTTCTTCATCCAGGTAAGTTCAGGTTTGTAAAAGGCATACCCAAGCTATTCTTCATCCAGGTAAGATCAGGTTTGTAAAAGGCATACCAAAGCTATTCTTCAGGCATTCCCAAGCTATTCTTCATCCAGGTAAGATCATGTTTGTAAAAGGCATACCCAAGCTATTCTTCATCCAGGTAAGATCATCTTTGTAAAAGGCATACCCAAGCTATTCTTCAGGCATACCCAAGCTATTCTTCATCCAGGTAAGTTCATGTTTGTAAAAGGCATACCCAAGCTATTCTTCATCCAGGTAAGATCAGATTTGTAAAAGACATACCCAAGCTATTCTTCCTCCAGATAAGTTCAGGTTTGTAAAAGGCATACCCAAGCTATTCTTCTTCCAGGTAAGATCAGATTTGTAAAAGGCATACCAAAGCTATTCTTCAGGCATTCCCAAGCTATTCTTCATCCAGGTTAGATCATGTTTGTAAAAGGCATACCAAAGCTATTCTTCAGGCATTCCCAAGCTATTCTTCATCCAGGTAAGTTCAGGTTTGTAAGAGGCATACCCATGAAGCTATTCTTCATCCAGGTAAGTTCAGGTTTGTAAACGGCATACCCAATCTATTTTTCATCAAAGTAAGTTCAGGTTTGTAAAAGGCATACCCAAGCTATTCTTCATCCAGGTAAGATCAGATTTGTAAAAGGCATACCAAAGCTATTCTTCAGGCATACCCAAGCTATTCTTCATCCAGGTAAGTTCAGGTTTGTAAAAGGCATACCCAAGCTATTCTTCATCCAGGTAAGTTCAGGTTTGTAAAAGGCATACCCAAGCTATTCTTCATCCAGGTTAGATCAGATTTGTAAAAGGCATACCAAAGCTATTCTTCAGGCATACCCAAGCTATTCTTCATCCAGGTAAGATCAGATTTGAAAAAGGCATACCAAAGCTGTTCTTCATTGAGGTTAGTTCAGGTTTTTTGTTATCTCTTTGAAATCCTTGCATACAAAGAAACCTTGAATTATCATACGTTCATGTCTGCAGGAATCTGTAAGCCGATTTGTAGCTCAGTTGTATTTATACTACAACTTACGCAGTCATCTTATTTAGTGTTTTTTCTCTCTTTAAATAATGCCATTTGATGTCACTTATGCATTTATCAGTTTAATGATTTGCAAACATTTGAGTGGGCTATAATAGCTGTTTTCAGCATGTAATGTTGTGTTTTGTTATGAGACATGATAGGTTTGCATGTATGCACAAAAAACATTGAAAGGAAAAAGTACCACACTGTCCACATGGAAATCAGACCTTAAAGTTGAAATAAAAATAACAAGTAGACACTTATTCAACCTATTGGAACAGTACAAAAATGAGATGAAACCAGTTGCAGAGGAAGAGAAGCATTACTTACACAATGTGTTGCATAAATCTTCTTTTTTGTTATTTATGAAGTTAAACATGAATTGATTCATCTTCACAAATATGGAAGCCAGATTTATTATATAATTTTATGTAGCGTGTCCTATGAAAGGATTTGGAATGGACTCCAGGAGTCAACACACAGGCTAAAGCTAATAAAGGTCAACCAATGTGTCGGAATAAACCAATACTCCTCATTTGTCATACTTACCACCAGATAAATCCGCAAAATAATGTTTCTCCTTTTTTTGCAATGTGTTATGGTGGATAAAATATTGTAGAAAGTTACTAGACAATTGTCAAAGACCCTGTACCAATTATGTTATATGCATATTTTGAACTGCTTTAAAGCTGTTTCAGTTGTCGTGTGTTTTCACAAGTGGGTATTCAGGGGAAAGGATTATCATTGCATTTTTTTAAATCTTGGAAAGAAACCCTTTTTATCAGTGCCAAATGATATGCATGAAGCGCAAACTCATTAAAACACAATGCCATGCTCTCTCATCTTGGTAATCTTTGGACGGTCATGGTGCCTTCCCGTTTAATTTCATATCACCTCAATTCCTGAAATATTTTTTATTTGATTTATGATTTAATTCTAAAATGTTGGCACTATGATATTTTATTCTTCTTACAATGCAGAAAACTGATGTTATCTTATTATAAATTGTGTTATTTACTTTTCAAAGGCATGTCGCTCAGGATTTGGTGCAAAGGAAGAAGATGTTGTGGATAAAGGTGTGGGAATTTCTGTCGAAGGTAAGAACATTATAATTGTTTATTAAGACTAGGAGCTACTAACAATGGTAGAAAGAAAAATATATAAAAATATCCCAAGTATTTTCATGTTTTCAGCAAAATAATATCCTTATGTGGGGTAAAATGTTATTAAAGTGTTAAGCTTAAATAAACAGCTTGTAGAAATGCAACAGTTCCAGGGTAATGACATTTCGCCTGTAGCTAATTGGCACGAATGACTATAAAGTGTGGGATCAAACTGAATGACCGAGATCAATTTTCAGTTTGGGAAGTCACTTGAATGAAATAAATTTAGGCTCGTCCGGAGAAGATTTTTTGAATTAATTTGACCTTTACTCTTTTTAAAGGTCACAAATGTGAAATAAAGCCTCAGTAAACCTCACTGTTACTGTCATTGTCCGAGTTAATATGAAATCTTAAATGGTCACAATTGACTCGGATAACGTAAACATTTGAAAATATTGTCTTGTTCATATATCAAAACAAACATGTGAACGATACATGTCCGATAGGCCTCTTGTCATGAATTAAGCTTCAGCAAGTTAATAGGATCTAATTGGAATGCGTTTTATGCTTTTCTTTAACCATGTGAAATCAATTGAAACCACAACAGGCATTGCCTTTGCTGTTGATATGGTATCAGTGTTGGTGATCCACATGTAATATTATGTGATGGTAATATAGCATATAACATACATAATATGTAGCTTTTGTATTTAAGTTCTGCGGTAGAAGAGTGACGGTTAAAATCTTGCAGAGTATTCCAGATACTAATTTAGCGAGTTATTTAAAGTTCCTGGGTAGGAATGAAGACCTATAAGCATTATCACAGCCTGGAACAATATATTCATTTCAAATGTTCATGATATATACATGTACTCTTATTATCATGGCCTCTTATCTTACAGTTCAAGGGAATTCTGAATTAGAAAAAGACTTGGCGGCCAGCCGAAGTAATGGACATAGGGACATATCTGATGCCAGACCAAGGAACGTGAGTATTTCTTTACAGAGTCAAGCTTTGTTGCAGCATTGAAGCATTTGTTTTCATATTGTAATTGTGGTTTTAGTACCTTGGAATTTTAACTTCTCTACTTTATGATTTTAACTGTCCGACTTGTTCTTAATAACAGCTAAAACCAAAAGTTACAACAGCACCCCAACCAGGCACAGAAGTGGCAGACGACACAAAAGAGGCCAATACACGAGCAAACGTCCCTCATGTGAAGCCACCCGTGGATACACCACCAGGTCAGCATTTCCTATCTTTCTCTTGCCTATGGTTTCGTTGTCCATGAATCAGGCATATCGCATGGTGATGTAATTGTACTCATACCTTGTCAATAGCACTGAGAGTATACATGTCTACAATAGTTGCGCTGTGAACACTATGACTTTAGTAGTAAACGTTGTTTCCTACAGTATCAATAGAGAAGCAGTTACATGTAAAAGAACTAGCAATCAGGATGCAATGATTTTGTCACTGATATTTGTAAATATAGCCTTCCATCTAGTTGCACGTAAATGTTTCACAAACAAATCAATCTCTCGTAAGACTACCACTCAATTTCAAATTCAGAATGATATTGATGTTTTGTCCTTAATTTGAAGAGTTTGAAAATTACTGACATTTCACACCTTGAATTGAAAATAAGATATAGTTTTATATACTGACATACCTACCTACATGCAGTAGGACTAAAGGTTACCTCACAACCAATAGACAAACATAAATGTGCACGACCGTTATCTTGTTTTCTACTTGACAGTTTTGGGGGTATAAAATGATCAGACACTTGATGGAGCCCTTGGGCCTGTCAGTGTTTTGGTTTCTATTTTACTGGGTGAAAGCTGTTTTTCACATATAATTTAAAATGGAACCACAATTGTACTTATGTTCTATAGTATGAAATGTTGATTTTATGTATCGAAAGATCCCGGGATGCAAGATGATGCAATGATAATCACAGCGAGGTGTATTTGCAATCTCTGATATAAAAAGAGACAGAAGTAAACATAAATGTCCATGAGGGTAGAATGATAACATAGCAAGTGTGTCTAATGTCCTTGGTATAAGATAGAACCATGATAATAGCAACGCTACAGGTACGGGTACACTACACATAAACATATGCCTACAACAAAATTTCATGAAATATGAATTATCGTTCACATGTGTGCATGTTGCGCCTTATTTCAAATGCAAATTTCGCCCAAGAATGTGGCTCGAAGGTGGCCCATTTGTAGTTTTGAGGGAGGCTCACCATCCTTATGTTTCATATCAATAGTTGTTTTACTCATAGAAATTAAAATTTAAATACAATATTTCACACAATAGTACTTACAATACTGTATGTAAAGGTCACTATCTAAAAGTTCCAAACTATGTGTAAATCTGGAAAAGGCCCAGATATGATGACATAATACACTCGTTAAAAGGGAATCCCCCTAAAAAGTACACAGACAAGTACATGTAAGGTTGTTAAATGTCGCTTATGATGCATGACACATGTAGCCATTCCTGCTACAGGAAGACAGTGATAAACATGACAAGTGTATACCAGATATAAATGTAGCAAATTATCTAATGTCCCGAGAGTTGCAAAAAAGAAAATGGCAACTAACATAATAACCACAATATCTATTATGTTAAAACCAGAAGGAGACAAGACAGTTAACAGCCGTGATGATGTTAAAAGCCATAATGACGTATCAGATGCCAGACCAAGGAATGTAAGTATATTTTTGTACAGCGTCCAGCTTCATTTGGAGTCCATATCAAGCTACATCTGTTTTCTCGTTGAAACTCTTGTTTCAAGACCTTGGATGCTTTAACTAACAGTATTTTGGACCAGTATGTAATTATGATTATCAAGATATATATATATCGATGACAATTTTTATAACAGTAATTAATCAGTAGCAGTTGAGACGGTTTAGACCTTAATCTGTCCCTAACCCCCTTGCCTCAGGGAATTGGAAGAATAATTTTCTGTAAGCTTATGACATCCTCAGCGATCAATATTTGAATTAAAAATTGTGAGTTTGAAACTTTGGAATAACAAAAGTAAATTATATCTACCTAGGTTATGCTTTCAACTGCAATAGTGTGCAAAATAGTGTTCCCCGTCAAATTTAGATATGTTTAAAATCATTGAACAGCAACGTTATATTAATTCTCAACCAATGAAATTTCCAACACAGGAAAATTAACTCAGTTTTATATATAATTCTCGTTGATAATTTGAGATAAAAAGATAAATTCATGATTGTTGAATAATAACAACTTCTAGCAATGGATGAATTATGACACTTTCAAAACAATATGCACCATTTTGTTCAACAATATGCACCATTTTGTTCAACAACAACTGATTTTAAAGACCAACATAACTATTTCTCATCAATTCATTTTTCAGTTATGTAAGTTAATATAGAAGATGCAGCGTACCTTTAATGGTCCATTGACTTTGTCAGCATTTCCATCAACATTAAGTTTTTGCGTTTAACTTAGTTTCTCTGATATGTGCATTGATGGTCAAAGCCGGGCATAGGCGAGACATATCAATCCCAATGGCTTGTTAAAGAACACAATCACGTGTGTGTGTTACGTTATCTCATAAAAAGTGATGAAATGTTTTTCAGTAATCCAAAAAGGACAAACAAACACATATCAATGTTATTATTCCCAGATAATATGACCTTTACAACATTCATTATGGTCACTGCCACAATTTGATACTCAATTGTTAATTGAAACTAAGAGTTCTGTATGTCCTTACCATTTTAACCATGCTACCTATTTTAATCACAGCAAACATCAGGTTTGACCAATCCACAATCATCTACACTGGAACCCATACAAAATGCAGGAGGGGCTAAACCGCTTATAGACATCGCTACAGAATCTGAGGAAAAACAATCCATGGATACCCCTGAAGTAAAAGACAACTCAGTTGCCAAAAAGACATCAGATTTAGCTGATGTCAGACAACCAAAACCTGATGTTGATACGACACTTCAGGTTGTTCCCCAGCAGGAAATCCCGTCCATAACGTGTATCGAAGACAGTTTGGTTATGTTTGCTTCAGCACCAGGTCAGTAGTTTCTAGCCTGCCACTACTTATATTTTTGTTATCCATTGATTCAGGTGTGTTATGTATTTATGTCATAATTTCTATACCCTGTTAATTGTTGTATGGCTGTATGGATATAGTAGTAAATATTGTCCCGTTCTGTACGAATATAGTAGAAAATAGGATAGAGTAGTAAATATTGTCCCGGGCTGTACGAATATAGTAGAAAATAGGGTACAGTAGTAAATATTGTCCCGGGCTGTATGAATATAGTAGTAAAAAGGATACAGTAGTAAAAATTGTCCCAGGCTGTATGAATATAGGAGTAAATAGGATACAGTAGTAAATATTGTCCCCGGCTGTATGGATACAGTAGTAAATATTGTCCCGGTCTGTACGAATATAGTAGAAAATAGGATACAGTAGTAAATATTGTCCCAGGCTGTATGAATATAGTAATAAATAGGATACAGTAGTAAATATTATCCCAGGCTGTATGAATATAGTAGTAAGTAGGATACAGTAGTAAATATTGTCCCGGTCTATACGAATATAGTAGAAAATAGGATACAGCAGTAAATATTGTCCCAGGCTGTATGGATACAGTAGTAAATAATGTCCCCGGCTGTATGGATACAGTAGGAAATATTGTTCCCGTCTGTATGGATACAGTAGTAAATATTGTCCCACGGCTGTATGGATACAGTAGTAATTGTTGTCCCCGGCTGTATGGATACAGTAGTAAATATTGTCCCCGGCTGCATGGATACAGGAGTAAATGTTGTCCCTGGCTGTATGGATATAGTAGTAAAAAGGATACAGTAGTAAATATTGACCCGGTCTGTATGAATATAGTAGTAAATAGGATACAGTAGTAAATATTGTCCCACTGCTGTATGGATACAGTAGTAATTGTTTTCCCCGGCTGTATGGATACAGTAGTAAATATTTTCCCCGGCTGCATGGATACAGTAGTAAATGTTGTCCCTGGCTGTATGGATATAGTAGTAAAAAGGATACAGTAGTAAATATTGTCCCGGTCTGTATGAATATAGTAGTAAATAGGATACAGTAGTAAATATTGTCCCAGGCTGTATGAATATAGTAGTAAATAGGATACAGTAGTAAATATTGTCCCCGTCTGTATGGATACAGTAGTAAATATTGTTCCCGGCTGTATGGATACAGTAGTAAATATTGTCCCCGGCTGTATGGATACAGTAGTAAATATTGCCCCCGGCTGTATTGATACAGTAGGAAATATTGTCCCTGGCTGTATGGATACATATATACAGTATGTGACGTAATTCCCTGTTTACTCTGATAATAACATTCAAACAGTATTTGTCCTAAACCACAGATGACTTGATATAACAACAATTTTTTTTAAAAATTATATCCATTATAAAAGTTTAGATAAAAAACATGTATAATATTGTCATTATCAAGCTAAAATGATAAAATTGAACTCAGATTTTCATGTTTTACCTAAAAGAATTGTTAATGTTAATCATTTAGTTAGAAGTAGGTAGAGCACTTTAATGGAGTTAGAAAATTTGAACTATAAACTTGTGTAGTAAAATTCATAGGAAAAAAATTGGGAAGAAATGTGTTCATAAAAAAAAAGGCTATTGATTAAATTTGGGAATCCAATATCTAATGATAAAATTTTATAATGTTCTCATTTCCAGGAAAAGAGGCATACAGGCGATCAAGCGAAGGTGGATGGATGATGCAATCAGTTATTAAGGAACTGGAAAGCTGGCCATCACATCCAGACCAGGACTTGTTACAGGTAACTATAATACACCACAATCAAGCTTTATCTAGACCAGGACTTGTTACAGGTAACTAATACACGACAATCAAACTTTATCTAGACCAAGACTTGTTACAGGTAACTATTACACAGCAATCAAGCTTTATCTAGACCAGGCCCTGTATTCACGAAACTGTAAAATACACTAAACCATTTAGATTCCAACAATGGTAATTGTGTTCGTACAATTTTTTCACTGTTCACCTTGATTTGATGTGATGAAGGAACTGTACTACAGTTACCATCTAAACTATTACTGGTAGAAAACCACCGATCCATCTAAAGTATTACTGGTAGGAAACCACCCATCCATCTAAACTATTACTGGTAGGAAACCACCAATCCATCTAAACTATTACTGGTAGGAAACCACCGATCCATCTAAAACTAATACTGATAGGAAACCACCGATCCATCTAAAACTAATACTGGTAGGAAACAACCGATCCATCTAAAACTATACTGATAGGAAACCACCTACCCATCTAAAACTAATACCGATAGGAAACCACCGATCCGTCTAAAGTATTACTGGTACGAAACCACCGATCCATATAAAACAAATACAGGTAGGAAACAACCGATCCATCTATAGAATTACTGATAGGAAACCATCGATCCATCTAAAGTATTCCTGATAGGAAACCACCGATCCGTCTAAAGTATTACTGGTAGAAAACCACCGATCCATCTATAGCATTACTGATAGGAAACCTCCGATCCATCTAAACTATTACTGGTAGGAAACCACCGATCCATCTAAAGTATTACTGGTAGGAAACCACTGATCCATATAAACTATTACTGGTAGGAAACCACCGATCCAAACTATTACTGATAGGAAACCACCGATCCATCTAAACTATTACTGATAGGAAACCACCGATCCGTCTAAAGTATTACTGGTAGGAAACCACAGATCCATCTAAAGTATTACTGGTAGAAAACCACTGATCCATCTAAACTATTACTGGTAGGAAACCACCGATCCATCTAAAGTATTACTGGAAGGAAACCACCGATCCATCTAAACTATTACTGGAAGGAAACCACCGATTCATCTTAATTATTACTGGTAGGATACCACCGATCCATCTAAAGTATTACTGGTAGGTAACGACCGATCTATCTAAACTATTACTGGTAGGAAACGACCGATCCATCTAAAGTATTACTGGAAGGAAACCACCGATTCATCTTAATTATTACTGGTAGGATACCACCGATCCATCTAAAGAATTACTGGTAGGAAACCACCGATCCGTCTATCTATAACTGGTAGGAATCCTTTAAACACAACTATTACTGGTAGGAAACCACCGATCCATCTAAACTTTTACTGGTAGGAAACCACCGATCCATCTTAACTATTACTGGAAGGAAACCACCGATTCATCTTAATTATTACTGGTAGGAAACCACCGATCCATCTAAACTATTACTGGTAGGAAACCACCGATCCATCTAAAGTATTACCGGTAGGAAACCACCGATCCATCTAAAGTATTACTGGTAGGAAACGACCGATCCATCTAAAGTATTACCGGTAGGAAACGACCGATCCATCTAAAGTATTACTGGTAGGAAACCACCGATTCATCTAAAATATAAAGTAGAAATCACCAGCATCCATAAATATCCACAGGTTGACCTGGATTTAGTTTTATTTTCTGGTATATGTATATTTTAGAAAAGTCCATGAAACGATATTTAATTAGAATGTGAAAATAGTTCGGCTATATTTATTTCCCGACCTGAATAGGTTCAGCTGTCTTATCTTCACCAATTAGGAGACTTAAGAAATAAATTAACCTCACTAACCAGTGAACATTGTTCACTTGGGGTTACACCACTTACAGTACAACCGGATGGGGTTTTGGGTTTGCTGTCTGTCGATCAGTGCGTCAGTCAGTGTGTCTGTCCGTCCGTGCTTCTGTCAGAGAAGTTTGTCTGGGACATATCTTCTATACTATTTCACCTGGAGTAACCAGATTTGGTGTACAAGAAAAACTTGGAATGATGGGAGTGTACAAGAAAAACTTGGAATGATTGGAGTGCAGAGTGCAAGAATTAAGGTCACTGTGACCTATGATTTGACCTTTGACTTTTACTTTTGAAAATGTTTGTCCGGGCATAAATGTTATACTATTTCACCTGGAGTTATTAGATTTGGTGTACAAGGACATGTTGGGATGACGGAGTGCAAAGCGCAAGAATGAGTATAGGTCACTGTGACCGATTACTTGACCTTTGACCTTCACTTTTGATTTTTTTGTCCATGGCAAATCTATACTATTTCACCTTGAGTAACCAGTTTTGGTGTACAAGGACATCTTGGGATGGGTGCAAGAAGTAGGTCAATATGACCTCACTGTGACCTATGGTTCCTGACATAAGTGTACTGTTTGTTAAATATAGAAATCATTATCGGTTGGGGCCTATGGATTGCCTTGTTTTTTATAGCAAAGTATGACTACAAGTGCGGATTAGTGATTGTTCGCATGTCTTTATGCTGTTGATAGTTGATATCAATTAGTAAACTTATTACTTTGCCTTGTTTGTCAATGACCTGAGTGAAGATCAGTGACTTTTCACCATCAATCTTCATCTGTTGTTGTGCGTTACCATTAACAGTTCACTCTTATGACTCGTAACTGCTGCATTGATTTCCATAATTCATCTGTTTATATTTTTCACTTCCAATTCGTTTGGTTTGTTATCACATTTCTATTTGCTGGTTAGCATTTATAGCAGAAATATGGAAAATATATTGAAAAAATGAAAATAGATCAAATATGACTTTTCTGACTTTCCAACAGGTTCTTACCAAAGTTATTGGTAAAATTGCCATTGAAAATGAGACAGATAAGGGCTACAAGTCAGCAGCTTGCCTCACCCACATGTTGATCAAGGATGTATATCTCTGTTAGAGGAAATATATCAAAGCTATGGGACACAATCCCAAGTGCCATTTAATTTTATGTTGATAAAAGGTGAATAAATTAACAATAAGGTGAGTCACTCAACACATAGATTTATAAACAGTGATGTCATTGTCTTTATGTATGATTGGATAGATATGATGTTTATAGTATACAATTTTGTATACTGTGTTAGTACAATGTTCAGAATTGTATATATGACTACAGGTACTTGATGAATTAAGATGTTATAAATGATTTTGTATACATCTATAGCAGGACTGGAGTGGGTCGATCGCCAGCGACCAGACGGTTTAGTTGGTTAAAGCATCCGTCTAGAGTTTGGATGGTCCCTGGTTCTAATCTGGTCTGTCTATGTATTTTCCCACTCTTGTTACCTATGGCAACCGACACAACATACCAGCAGAAGTTGTTATAGTGTCTCTTGTATCTTCGGGGTTGAAGAATTTGTTATTGTAACTGAACTGGACTGGGTCGATTACTGGTGACCAGGTAGCTCAATTGGTTAAGTATTCGTCTAGAGTTTGGAGTGTCCCAGGTTCCAATCCTGGTCGGGTCGTACTTTTTCCACTCCTGTTACATATGTTACAAATTAACATAGTTACCTGTATTTCTACCAACATTAAATATTTGCCAATATGTTCGTAATGACATTCATTAAGTATTTAATGGTGTATATGTGATTGTGTAAGTATGTAGAATATCTGATGTGCAGATATGTTGTGTACATTGATTGTATGTATATTTTACCACATTGTATATATATAACCTGAGTTACCTTATGATCAATGCACAGTATACTACATTGTAATAATGCTTGAGTACATTGTATATACATTATGCAATATAACAGTTTCACAACATTGTATGGTGTGTATTAAGTGTATTAGCATTGTTTATACGATTGTGAAGGTTTATTATGACTTACATTTGTTTGTGTAGGCATGTTATAATTATAAAGACCATACAGTAGTTTTGTATATGATAAGACAAAGGTGCTGATGTCTGTCTGTATTGCAGGGAAATAGGCTGGTCCCAATTTATTAAAGAAAGAAACTTTTGACACAATGATGTTTTCCCAATTTTTTTAAGAATATTTTTGTTTTATTAATCTTGTTGTCAACCTGAAATCAAACATTAAACTTCAGATTGCTGAACCATTGCTCAAACCGATTGAACGATTTGGTTGATGGAACTGTCCTTGCCCAGTTGTTCTACAGTTTTAAGATAAAGTTTGATATATAACATGATACATGTCCATACATTTTATCATACAGACTGTTAAATACTTTTAAATTCAGATCTATGGCGAGTTTTTTAAAAAAATCAAATATACTTCATTAACGATTAAAAACAGAAATATATTTAGATTATATACTACAAAGAAGGATATGGCAGCTCTGCAGTATATAATATGCATTTCGTGTTGATCTCAAATTCCAGTTAGTGTCATATCTTCATTGAAAAGCAGCAATATCATTCTCCTCATCTTTCACCCATCAGCTTTAATCAATTAATAAACCAGATTTCCAGTAGTTCTATATTAATTCCAGTAGTTCTATATTAATTCTTGGTTTAGCATTCCCTTCATCATTTCAATGATATTATGTTGATTATTTCCTAACATTGGTTTTGTCACCAAATAATATTCGGAAATATATGTTTTTGTAAGCAAGTAAATGTTTTATATATTGCTAAACTGAATTGATGTATGCCGATATGCGCACACGTGTGTGTCATGTGTGAACAGATAATTCAAAGAAAACGAACAACAAAATACACATTTTACGTAGTTTCGTCTTGGTTATTTATCAGCTTTAATCAATTAATAAACCAGATTTCCAGTAGTTCTATATTAATTCTTGGTTTAGCATTCCCTTCATCATTTCAATGATATTATGTTGATTATTTCCTAACATTGGTTTTGTCACCAAATATTACAACAAGGAGCAATTCAATGATGTCATTAATGAGAGGCAAAGACATATAAACGGTTACCGTAAAAACCCATGTAATCAAATCAGTCTGTAGTTATGACAAGGCAGTAGGGCTTCGTAATTCACGCCACGTGTTGGTGAGTGAAAAATACAACAACACGGTCCGTCGATCGCAACTGCAAATCATTTCAATAAGTATACCTATTGTTAACGGGTAATCACAGATATAGTGTTAATTTTACAGTATGTAAAAATTGTGTGGCCAAAAAATATCGGCAAACCATGGACTTAGGTAATCGAATTCCGTGGCCAAACTGAACTGTGACATGACCTGGTTTGAAGTGACGATACCCAAGGCGCCATGATGAGCCCTTCTCACTGATCGTAATTATGATCAATAAAAGGTATCTAATTATGTCTTTCACCAGGAGATATGCACCAGCGGTTACTAACATCGAATTACTTATTAATTGATATGTTTTTGTAAGCAAGTAAATGTTTTATATATTGCTAAAATGAATTGATGTATGCCGATATGCGCACACGTGTGTGTCATGTGTGATCAGATAATTCAAAGAAAACGAACAACAAAATACACATTTTACGTAGTTTCTTCTTGGTTATTTATATCATTTTTCATCAATGAAAAAAAAATCATAAGAAACATATTTAATTTTTTTTATTCAGAGATCGATTTTTCGGAGCATGAACATCGTTTTTTTTGTTCAGATTTTTGGGTGCGCAAAATATTCGAGTAGAAGCTTTTTTCACGTTTTTCAGCCTCAAAAAGTACCTGCGCAAATTACACAGGTGCGCAAATTACATGGGTTTTTACGGTACCTTTTGTTTTTATATTTTGCTTGTCTGTTTTTTTGTGTTTTTTTTGTGTATGTAAAATCTAAAACAATGTCTTTCGGAGTGAATGCGAACTAATTAAGAGGGCTTTGGTTTGTATAAATGTTGATTTTAAAAATGGAACATATGTATGCATATCATTTCAACTAGTTTCAAATCTGTTGTTCGTTTATCAGAAATAGTGTCTTATACCCGGTAATACCAACCAAATTACCAAGGATGTAAGATGTATGTTTTTTTCCATGAACAGAAGCTGGTTTTTTGAAATTCCTTTATCATTTAGTTGACTATTTAAAAAAAGAAGTTTGTCTTTTATATTTCAAAAATAGCAAAGTTCGACGTTACTCAATATTTTTAGAGTCAAAAGGGCCAGCTGATGACAAAACGTTAGAACACAGTTTGTATATAGTCAATAAGGTGGGAATTGACGCGGTGGCCGAGTGGTAAAGGTCTCTGACTGTTTGGATCACAAGCCCTCCACCACTGGGTCGCGTGTTTGAGGCCTACCTGGGACAGTCACCAGGTACCAGCCGCATGTCAACTGTCGCTGTAAATGGGACGTAAAACAGACAAACATGCATATTATAAGATGTATATATATATGTATATATATTAAATGTATAAATTTCTTTAAGATACATGTTCATATTTGAATATAATTCTAGTATGTATCAAATGAATTAATGTGGTTGATTGCTCATCTAAATATAAAAATTATGCTGTGAAAAAAGTATTCAAATATATTAATGCTGTATGAAAGTGCTTTTCAATTTCTATTTATACCGTGTATGCAGTTGTATAATTGTATTTTCACATCATGCTAATTAAGAAATCTTTTTCACATAATGATTGCCAGGTATTCTTTATTAGAAAGTGAATTTATATATTTTTTATTTACAGGGTTTATCAAAATCAAACTTGATTTTCTTTTTGCAGTGTTGTAACGAAAACGATTACTTGTTGAAGCCTAATATGAAGCAAATAAGTGCTGTCGAAAACATAAGTTGATTTCAATACTGTAACAGTACTTATTTTTAGTGGGATCAAATTTAGCATATTATTGAAGCTTATTTAACAGATTAGCGAATTGATATATTGGGACACTCCCAATATTCGCAATAGAAAACTGATACAGCAACTTCAATTAGCATAATTACAATTTAGCACAATATTCATAGCGCGAAAAGACCTAACATTAGAATACCGCCATACTATGTACGTTACATGTTTACATTCCCTGTGATTTCACATGATATCTTCCACCAGAAGTGTTGTTACTGTCCAAGTTTACCTCTTGTGCCAGTACGTATATGCCACTAGTGGGGGGCCGGTAGTGTTACCAGTTCAGTCATTGATTGTGATACAGAAATATATATTTTTATACAATATTTACATAAATATTCCAATGATGTCAAAACCTATTGTTGTTTGTGTTAGTAAATTAGGAAATGATATTTCACCTCACTTCTATGAGCTTGAATCTGAGACGAGAACCTACTTTCCTGTGAATAATTAAAAAGTTGGGAGCGTGTTTTCAGTGATGCTTTTCAAACGAATATTTGAATCATATAAGAAAAACATAGCTCATTTGTCTCTCAAAATATCATCTTTCGTTCGTGGTGCATCCATCCGTTCGTCCTTCTACAACTCTTGTCATCGCTAATTCTCAAAACGGACTAATGGATCTTTCTCCAATTTCATATGGAAGGTAACTTAGGTCTATACGTGTGCATTTTGAGACTGATCAAGAAAAAAAAAACACGCGTATCAGTTATCTTGGATTTGAAGGTTCAAGTTCGTTGTCGCGGAATTTGGAAATATATAGAGAAAACATTGATGGTACTTTTGTTTACTATAACATTGATGGTATTTTTGTTTACTATTGTCTTTGTTAAAATTCCTTACAAAAATGTCAAAATGCATTAAGAGTAGAAATAGAGAGGGGAACGTTGTGACCCTTAAATGAGCACGGGAGTGTAGGTTTACGTTCTAGGTTTTATTGGGCTCATGATGGGGTTTTTTTCTGTTTGGTATAGTGTTACTTAGGCCCATCTTTCGTAACGATTTTGTATCTCGATTTGTTTGTGTTGGTATTTTTGTATTTTTGCCTTATTTGCTCAAATTTTTTAATAACCATTTTCAGAAAGGTTATGTACTTCAAATGTGGTAAATCCATATTGGTGATGTTTCCGCGCTTTCTCACACTTTTTACGCGGACGCGAGTTATTACGAGCGTGTAAACTTAAGTTTAAAACATCAACTACCATTTTGCCCTCAAACTGTTCGTGAAAGCCGCTATTGTTTACCGAACAATGGAGTTCACATATTTTAATTTCAACTTAAATATAACTTTGCCATTTAACTGAGCCGAAATCCATTAAGAAATTAAATTACAAGTCACAATTACGAAAATGTTATGTTTAGTTTTGATTTGTCACAGAGTATCGTTCGGTAGACTTGTAGATCAAATACGAGCGATGCTGGATTTATTACGAATTGACATTTTCAATTTCCACTTCAGTACGTGTCACGTGACCAGTAAAGGCCAAGAGAGATTTTTCTTCTTTCTCTTTTTTCATGTAATATGCTTTAAGCCAAGCATGTACAGTAATATTATCAGAGTAAAGGAAAAATACAAAGTTTCACTTTTTCAAAGATATGTCAAACGGCAGTTACACAGCAACACATCATAAGGGTATTTTACTGTGATTATGATATCGGCAGTATAATACTCAACAGAAATATATATATATTTTTTATATATATATGTATTTATACGTGTGCATTATTATATAATAGCTATATTTTCAATTATAATATATCAATTCTATCTTCTTGTAATATGATGTATATGTACATGTAACTGTTCTGTTTCACTGTGTCTTGAAAAAGGAGCGAAAATTTGACAACCTAGACTTGTCCACACTGTTGGAATTACTTCTTTGCCCCATATGTATTTATATGTATATGTATAATGACATGCACACTTACTCGTTGATTTACCGTTCCTCATTTTATTTTGCAGTGATGATATGGCTTATTTATATATTTGTCTTTCATAACGTCTAAGAGTAGTTCAGAATAACAATAGCTGTTTTACGTTTGTTTGATGTTTTAATACCTCTACGACCTAATGGATAAACTTACTCCTCTCACCTGTGATACTGACAATCAGATCGATATTATAGATTGATTGACTTAAACATAAAGAGATGTCTTTCCTTCATTTATGATGATAAAATAGCATTTTTATTTTTCAACAATATTCATTTATTTCAGTTACTATTACTTTTAGCACTTCATTAAATTCATGTTTTAATTATTCAGATTCTTTAGTCAATTTGAAAGCTTCTTTCGCTGTAATAATCAGTTATTTAAAGTTTCTATTTAATTATTCTTGTTGCTCATATTGTTGAATGTTCACGTGATAGGTTTGGGTAATGTTGGTATTTGATAACTATAACAATGCACGTGAAACATTATTTTACAGTAATAAGAAAGCATTCAGACTACGTTTTAGGTCACCTGAGCTTTCAAACTTAAAGTCAAGTTCTATTCGGCTGATTTAACTGAAACTAGGTAGGAATGATCAACTCGTGGTCCTGATAAAGTGTTGTTATTTTTCGGGTCAATAAGAAATCCAATATGGCCACCACGGCATCCATTTTGAAAAATCTATTTCAAAATTAAAGTCAAGTTCAACAGGGGTGATTTAACTGAAATTTGGTAGGAATGATCGACTCATGATCCTGACAAGGTGTTGTTATTTTTGGGGTCACTCAGAAATCCAAGATGGCTACCACGGCCGGCCATTTTGAAAAACTATTTCAAACGTAATGTCAAGTTCTATTGGGCTGATTTAACTAAAACTTGGTAGGAATGTTCAACTTGTGGTCCTGATAAAGTGTTGTTATTTTTCGGGTCAATCAGAAATC